CTTCATAAGTTACATGAAGATATAATCACTGTGTCATACACCTGAAACTAATATGATATCATATGTCAACTGTAATTGAAAAATTAAAAAACAATTTTTTAAATAAGGTGCAAAAGAAAAAGAAAAAGTGCGATATTGGACTCAATTATTTTAGTGTAATCAATTGGTTGCCAAAACAATGATAAACTCTGCACTTTGCTGTAATCGTGACTTTAATGGTGCATGTTAATGGGAAGAAATGCTTCAAATTAGTTGAATGGATTAAACGAGCCAGTTGACTTTTCTTTTTTCCTTCAGAGCACTGCATATGAGACTCATATTAGGAATCCTATCTTCTTTATATGCTTTCAAGACATTTATTGAGACAAAATGCATAAAATAAAAGATACTTGTATAATTTAATCATGGACTTGCTGTTACTGGATTTCTTTCTTCATGGTTTCAGGAAATTCTAGAATGATGCTACCCATTTATATCTAAACAGAAATATGTTGCATTTCTAACTCATGTTTGTTTTCCTGTTGAAAGGGAAAATGTCTGGCTCAGGATACTCAGTAAATGTAATGTTATTAATAAATCTCACTTCTATACCAATCCTCGTTTTAAGCAATGCTTTTACTTACTAGGGCTTTGGGTTGGCTTTTTGGTTTTGCTTTATTTTGGACAGTTGATTGAGGAGCATTCAGATATCAAGGTCAGCACAGTGGAAATGTTGAAAATGTTAGTCCAATAGATGAATATCACAACAGGATGAAAATGAAATATTGAACTGTGTATATAGAGAGAATTTCAGCATCTAGAATACAATATGAAATAAGAGTAAAATTTCACTTGTGAGAGTTCTCAATTTGAAGTAAGAACAATCCAGGGAGTAAGACAGGAAGGTATCACAGGGATCAAAATGGATCTATCTTGTTTCTTCCTACATTCTTAACCTTGTAAGAGAGCCTCTGCATTCTTTCAGCCCTTAAGTACTTTACTTGATGTGTCTCTATGACATTATTTTACAGAATAGTTCTAACAGATTTGTTAGGTTGTCAAGCCCACAGATAATTAAAGGAAAGGAATTACTAAGGTGGAAGTGACACTATTCTAGGGGGAAAAACTACCAAAAAAATAAAACACCCAGAAGTAAAAAATTCTAAAAGTATAGCAATATAGTTGCTTTACTCGAGACGTATTCGATACATAGCCCACAGCCACCTGAGGGAACTTCTGAAGTCATGTATAGTCCATTGATCAGTGAAGAAGATTAAATTATATTTAAAATAATGTCAAAGTTATAAAATTTGATGTTTAAGTGGCATCTATTCTCTTATAAAATGCTCAGGTTGCTGATATGAAATATATGAAATGAACTCTTATATTTTGAACAATTTTAGTCCATATTTATTTGGACTTTTGAAATCTACAATGCTTCTATAGTGATCACCTCTTACCATAGCATTCTTTGAGCACTCTCTGGGTACAGAGTGTAGTAGAAAAAGAAGGCATGTGATCCCTGGCCTCGAGGAGCTTGCCTTCTAGAGAAGACTGAGCCAGAAGTGACAATTCATCATCAGTTTGTGTCTCAAACTGTGGAAGAGTAATCTGGCCAGAGTGCTATATAGTATAGAAGTTTTCTTCGGGGAGAGGTAAGTGTGAAAGGAATTGAGAAAAAAATGGGGAAGGATGCATGCTTTAAATAAATTTTAAAACCAAAAACATTGCTGCTATCTCTTTATTTTACTGGAGTGAGAATTCACCTCATTCCCCAACAAACCAGTATGTTATTTAAAGCAAGCACAGAACATCCTCCACTATTACCACCACTTGTATAAAAGCAGGAAACAGTCATTTAAAATCTTGCCAACAACCTTTCCATTTATTCTGTACTTCCCACCTGATACCAGGCCGTAGTCCCTAGCTGATGAAGAAGATCAAATAATTTTATTTTCACATTCTCATTCTGTTATGCACAGATGCCTGTGATGACCCACCGAGATTCAAATCTATGATGCTCAAGGGTCTTCCTAAAACTCTTTATCATACGGGGGACAAAATAAGATATGAGTGTCGCCTTGGGTACAAGCGCATAATGCCTCTTCTTGCCACTTTTGCTATTTGTCAGCGTGATAACACATGGACACCTCTCCAGGAGGCTTGTACAAGTAAGTAAACAAAACTTTTGTTTTTATTGCTCTGGAGATCTTCACAAATTTTAAACTGTATATTTTACTGTTGCAATGATGAATTTCTCATGAGAATGTAGATTTTAAATATCAATGTCTTTGAAAATCAGCCCAGGGTCTTTTTTTGGCAATTGGTCTTCAGAGTAATTGTGAATCTTAAGTTTGGGCTTTTAATAGTTAAAAAAAAGACAATATTTCTATGAATTCGGAAGAGTAATATAAAATTTTGATTTTGATCTAAATCTGTTTTGAAATTGTTATGACACAAGAAACTTGAAATTTTTCTTTTAGGAAAATCATGTCCACAGCTAGAAGAACCCCTAAATGGCCAAATAATCTATGTAAACAGAACTTTTCAGTTTGGTTCACAGGCTCACTATGTTTGCAATGAGGGGTAAGTAAGTTGCTGCTTAGGAAGAAGGTAAATATTACTAATTTAATATTTGTTTTGCTTCTCTTCTTATGCATTCCTATAATTTTGGTTCATTTTGCTTTCTCTGTGACAGCTTTACTTGTAGCTAATCAACTCTTTGACTTTCTATGGAGACTGAAAAGATGTATAATGAAATAGAAGAAATTTAAATTGCAGGAAAGCAAAATTGTATAATACTTGCTATATGTACTAAAAAGCCTTCGTTATATTAAAAATGTAGTAGTCATGACTACTTTATCCTTGACAACAGAGTGCACCCTGTTTAAAATGGCCGACTCTCAGAGTTGATAAAGGGCTTATAGAAATGCAAGGTGGAATTGCCAGTCAAAGATATTCTTACATCGAGGTAACTTTGTCAGGTGTTACCAGACGAAAATAGACCTGGTTAGCCTGGGCCTTAATATTGATCAAGTCTCACAGTTGGAAAACCTTATTTTTGAGAGTGCTACAAAGGAGTGAAGCATCTCAAAAAGAGGTACTGAGCACTTAATACTAGCCTTTGTCTTATAAAACTCTTTTCATACTATATATTCAGGATATTGGGAATTTATGACAAATGTGCATTTATAAGGTAAATGTAAAACATGCTCTGAATGAATAACGACAGCAGCTTGCAAGTGGGCAAGACTTGGCTGAGAGGCCCCTTCTCAAATCCTCAGTGGCGCCAACGTGCTCTGCTCTCCATCAGGCTCTGCTCTCTGCTCTTCCCTAAGTGCCTGTGAAATCTACTTTCAGTTGCTAATTTCACACTCCAGGGGCCTCTCAGCCAAGTCCTGCCCACTTGTGAGCTGCTGTCCTTATTCATGCAGAGCACATTTTACATTTACCTTATAAAAAAGCAACTGATTTTTATATTAACTTTGTATCCTTCTACTTTACTGAATTCATTTATTCTATCAGGTATGTGTGTGTGTGTGTGTGTGTGTGATCCTTAATTTTTTACATATTTAATTCTTCCTAACAAATTTGGATGCCCTTATTTCTATTTCTTATCTAATTGCTCTAGCTAGAACCAGTACTTTGTTGCATACAAGTGGTAAAAGCGGGCATCTTTCATTGCACCTGATCTTAGAGGAAAAGCTTTTAGTTTTGACCATTGAGTATGCTGTTTGCTGTGGGTTTTTCATGTATGGTATTTACTATCTTAAGGTAGTTTCCTTCTGTTTTAGTTTATTGAGTATTTTCATTATTAAAGAGTGTTGGATTTTGTCAAATTCTTTTTCTTCATCAATTGAGATAATCGTGTGGGGTTTCTTTTTGTCCTCATTCTGTTCTCGTTGCATATTACATTGATTGATTTTTATATGTTGATTTACCCTTGCACTCCAGGAATAAATCTATCTTACCATGGTGTATAATCCTGCTGACTTCTGTTTGCAATGTTTGCAAGTATTTTTGTGGATTTTTACATCAAGGTTCACAAGGGATATTAGTCTGTAGCTTTTGTTTCTTATAGTATCTTTGTCTGACTTTGGTGTCATGGTCTCAAAAAATAATTGCAATTATTTGAAAGAGACTGAGAAGGATTGGTTTTAGTTTCTGTTTAAATGTTTGGTAGTTTTTACCAGTAAAACCATCAGATCCAGGACTTCCCTTTATTAGGAGATGTTTGATTACTGATTCAATCTTCTTATTAGTTATCAGTCTACTCAGATTTCCTTTTTTTTTTTTCATTTAGTCTTGGTCAGTTCTGTGTTTCTAGAAAATTTCCCATTTTAAATAAGTTATCCAATTGTTGGCATAATATTGTTCATAGTAATCATATAAATTTTTATATTTCTGTAGAATTATTTTTTACTTTACTTTTTACTATTATTTTTTACTTTAGTAATTTGAATCTTCTCTTTTTCTTACTCCTTGCTAAAATTTTGTCAATTTAGTTGATCTTTTCAAAAAACCTACTTTTAGTTTTATTGATTTTCTCTATTATTTTTCTCTTCTCAATTTTTTATATCTGCTCTCATCTTTACTATCTACTTTCTTCTGTTATTTTGGGATTATTTCTTCTTTTTCTAATCCCTTAAGTTGTAAAGTTAGGTTCTTGACTTCAGATCTTTCATTTTTTATTTCAAGTGTTTATAGCCATGAATTCTCTTCTTGGCACTGCTTTCACTGTATCTCATGAGTTTGGGGATATTATGTTTTCATTTTTATTCATTTAAAGTATTTTCTATTTCCCCTGTGATTTCTTCTTTGACTCATTGGTTGTTGAAAAGTGTGTGTTTAATTTTCACAGTTTGGGGATTTTCCAGTTTTCCTTTTTATATCGATTTCTAACTTTGGCAGGAGAAATTTCTGAGATGTACTAATTAAATTATATCAGGCCAGAGGGTAGGAAGAAGAAACAGGGAACACAGTGAAGGACTGAAAACAATGGAAGTCTTCTCACTTTCCTGAATGTATGTTGAAACTTCGAATCAATGTCCACACCTATTTAGCATCGTATTTAGATATGGGCTCTTATTGATATTATAGCTCTTATCTAAAATGGATAGCTATCCACTAGACTCCACCTCATCCTGCTTACACATGAACTTTTCAAACTGTTGCCAACGAACAATCTGAAAGCAGCAAACACTTCTTCCTTACAGACTATGGACCAATCCAAAAACTAGCCCCACTTATCCTTCTTCTGCAACCCCTTATCAGTAGCCAATGTGAATTCTTTCAAAACTTACATCTTTCTTCTCAAAACTGTAAAAAAGCTCTGTCAGAAACAGAACGATTGACATATTTGCCTTCTCCATCTATACCTGCTGATTGTGGTTTAGACTGCATGCCCCTGGACCTGATTCTTTTTTTTCTGGCTATTAAATGACTTAATGAAATCTTTCTTTCAGAAAGATTCTGGTTATTAATATTTTTAACAACTTTATCCTATTGTAGTCAGAGAAGATACCTTTTATGATACTTATCTTTTAAAACCTATAAATTAATTACTATTGTTTTGTGGTTTAACATGGTCTATCCTGGAACATGTCCCATGTGCACTTGAGGAGAATATGTATTCTCTTGTTGGGTATGGTCCTCTGTCTATGTCTGTGAGATCAAGTTGGTTACTTGTGTTGTTGAAATCCTCTATTTCCCCATTTGTTTGCTGTCTGGTTGTGCCATCCATTATTATGAGTGGGGTCTTGAAATCTCTAGCTATTATTGGAGAAATGACTATTATGGAGAAATAAGCATTTCCCTTTCAATTCTTCAATATATGAAGTTTTTGCTTCATATATTTTGAAGGTCTGTCATTAACTACATAACTGTTTATACTTATATCTTCTTACAGTATTAAAAATTTATTAAAATATATTGTACTTCTTGTCTCTTGTAAATTTTTTTGATTTAAACTCTATTTTGTCTTAGTTTAGCCAGCCCTGCTCTCTTTTGGTTACAATTTGCTCAGAATACCCTTTTCCATCCTTTTACTTTCAACTTGTTGATGTCTTCTGAATCCTTTGAGGATAGCAGATAGTTGGAACATTTGTTTTTATCCATTATACCAATATCTGACATTGAATGTAGCATTTAATCCTTTTAAGTTTAAAGTGATTATTGACAAGGAGGGACTTACTTCTGTCATTGAGCTATTTGTTTCTTACTTGCCTTAATGCTTTTTTGCCCCATTTCCTGAATTACTGTATAATTTTGTGTTGACTGTTTAGTTAAATGTTCGAGTTCCCTTCTTATTTCTTTTTGTGTATATTCTATAGTAATTCAATCGGTGGTTCCCGTGGGGATTAGTTTTAACTTCCTATAGTTATATCAATCCAATTTGAATTTGTACCAATTTAACTTCAATAAATTATAAAAACCAATCCTTCCAACCTCTTGGGTTGTAAATGTCATTCTAGCCTCTACAATAATAATTATAATACTGATGTCTATACTACTTATTTTCTTTATAATATTAGTCTCTTAAATCACATAGAAAATAAAAATGCACTTACAAATCCTTGGTATGATAATATTAGCTTTCATAATGTCCCATGTGTGTACCTTCGGTGAGATGTTTATTCATCTATACGGCTTCAGGTTACTCTCTAGTATCCTTTAATTTCACCTTTCAGGACTCCCTTGAGCACATTCTGCAATCGAGGTCTAGTTGTAACAAATATCCTTGGCTTTTATTTCTGGAAAAGTTCTTAATATCATCCTCATTTTTGAAGCACAGTTTTGCTGTATAGAGGATTTTTGGTCAACAGTTTTTTCTCTTATCACTTAGAGTCTATCAGTTCACTGTCTTCTGGCCTCTGAGTTTCAGATGACAAATCTGCTGATAATGTTATTTAGGATTTCTTGTACATGATGATTCACTTCTCTCTTGCAACTTTCAAGATTCTCTGTCACTGGCTTTTGAAAGTTTGATTACTTTGTGTCTTAGTATGGGTCTCTTTGAGTGAGCTATTGGGGTACTTAGATTCATTTCTTTCATCACATTTGGGAAGTCTTCAGCCATTATTTCTAAAAAGATTTTCTCTGCCCCTTTCTCTTTATCTTATCCTTCTGAGAGTCCCACAGTATATATACTATATTGGTCTGCTTATTGGTGTCCCACAAGTCACTTAGGCTCTATTCACTTCAATCTTTTTCTCTCTGTTCTTCAGACTCAATGATTTCCATTTTCCTAGCTTTAAGTTTGCCGATTCTTCTTTCTGCCTGCTCAGAACTGCCTTTAATTCCCTTAGTAAATATTTCATTTCAGTTATTGTACCTTTGAACTCCAGAATTCTTTTGTTTTTATTTATTTTAGAGTTTATATCTCCTAACTTATATTTCCATTTTGTTTACACATTGATTTCTTAACTTTTTACATTTCTTTTAGTGTTTTGAGCATCCTTAAGACAGTTTTGTATTTTTTTTCTAATTTTATTGAAACCCCAGGACTATTGGGCTTCCACAGTTGCCATTCCTACAGACAATGGAGTAGCCGGTGGAAAGGCCTCTTTTTACCTTCCTCTGAGTCACAGGTTGTTGGTGCGCTTGCATGTCTTCCTATAGCTATTGACAGCATGGGGGTGCAGCAAGCACAATACCTGTGGCACATCATTTTGTGGCTGTTGTATTCTTGGGGATCTGGTGGAGGAAAGGCTCATTGATGTCACCCCACAGGTGAGGCACCAAGTGCAAGGTGGACTATACCTAGAAGTTGTAGTCTGACAGAGTGTGGTCCTTCTCCAGATGTTTGAACAGAAACATCAGATGCTGTTGGTCAGGAGGGATACCCTCCTTGTCTTGGATTTAGGCATTGAAGTTCTCAGTTTTGTCACTGGGTTCAACCTCGAGAGTGATGGTCTTGCTCATCAGGGTAATCACAAAGATTAGCAGCTCTGCATCTGCTGCTGAACAGACTCATGAAGAAAACAAAGACTATGGAACCAGAAACTGCAGATGTGCCACCAAGAGTGCTTGCAAACTATGTACCCACAGTTTCAATGACTATTTTAAAGTTTTTGTCTAGTATATATTCCCTCAGTTCTTTTTCAGGGGTGATTTTTTTTTTCATTAATTGGCCACACTTTCTTGTGGCTTTGTATGCTTCATGATTTTTCGTTGATCTGGACATTTGAATCTAATAATGAGGTAATTCTAGGAATCAGGTTTTCACCTTTACTAGTGTTTATTGTTTTATGGTTTGTATTTTTTTTTTTTGATTGTTCAAGCGTGTCTCTGTGCTGAGAATCAGCCTGACATGTAACTGAAGGTCTTCTCAGATCTTTTCTGAGCTGAATGTCCCAGTTCTTAATGTATGGCTCTCAAAAGGGAATACAGTGAAAAATCAATGAGAGAACAATAGTTGCTGGTTCTTTAGTTCCCCTGGAAGTCACCTCAGTCAGCAAGGATTAGACTTACAGGAGTGTGGAGACATGTAACAACAATGGCTGCCCAACTCTTTGTCTGCTTCTCTGTGATCAGAGCAGCGATCAATGATAAGAGCAGGGATCTCTGATATTTGGAGGATAAAGTCCTTTTTGCCCACCTTACTCCCTAGGGCTGATTATAAGCTGCTACAGGAAGACACACACAGCTGCTTGCTCTGGGAGTGAACTTGGTGGCTGCCACTGTGCTAAGAGCTGAAACTGGCCAAAATTAGTGCATTTTACCCATCCAAGTCTGTTCCTGGAAGTTGCAAGTCTTTATCAGGCTCCAGAGTTCCAAAACAGTTACATAGAGAGATTCTAGCACTGCACTTGTTGTCTAGGTGGGGAGACACATTCTTGGTGTTTCCTATCCTGCCATCTATCATCCCAGAATCCTCTCCTAATACATTATGGTATAGAATCAATGAGTGAGCCTTGGAGAGAAGTCAGCTGGAAGCAATCATAGGCAGTTTCACTGATTATTTTATAGTTTAATAAGTGAAAATATCCAGTCAATAATTATAGAGAGAGAGTTTGTTACACACGTTGAGTACCAAAAAGTCTTTTAAGACATAGACTCTCCTCAAAAAGTCATAGTCTTATTGAGAAGCACAATATATACTGAGAGCTGTTAAAGGAAAGTAGTGAATGAGAAGTACCAAAGAAATAGATTTATTCATGATCATTGCAATGAGAGTCCAGAGGAGAAGAGAGTACTATGAATGTAAATCATCAGAGATTTCCTCGAGTAGGAGTTTTCCTGAGCTACTCTTAGGAGGATATTCTGAAATATATTAATAAGACCTAAAACTTGTCTAGCATTCACCATGTTCCACATGCTGACTCATCTAATACTCAGAATAATCCCACAAGGTTGTTACTATTATCCCCTTTTCATAAATGTGAAAACTGAGAAACAAAATACTAAAGAACTTGCTCAAGTTGAAAAAGCAATTCAATCCAGCGGGAGCTGGAACTGGAAACCAGTCAGGTGAACTCTAAGGCCTCATCTTTCTACTCAGCTGTTGTCCATACTGCATAGAATGGCACCAGCAAAGGCAAAGAAGTGAATGTGTGATGTGATTGCCAGAGACAGCAAATACCTGAGTCACAAGGGTGAACAGATTTATTTTTATATTTTCTTCTAGGCCAATGTGTGTGCAAAATCTCTTTATTTCATTAAATTGCAGATTTTGTTAGAACATTCAGTATATGGTGTGTAAGAAATTTATCCCTGAAACTACTGTAATGCAGAAAAACATCCATATAGATGCTTTCTTCATTGTATGCTTTTTGTAACAGATAAGAACACAGTAATCCTTTATTTTTTCCATTAGTTTTCACTTACTCGGAACAAAGCTTCTATATTGTGAACTTTCTGGAAGTAATGTAGATTGGAGTGATAATCCCCCAGCATGTGAAAGTAAGTATTCTCTCTTTAAAATTTAGAGCAGCAGTTCTCAAACGTTTTGGTTTGGGGACCCCTTTACACGTTTAAATTGTAAAGAGCCCACAGAACTTTCCTGCAATTGGATTAGGTCTAATAATATTCCTTATATGGGAATTAAAACAGAGATGTTTTAAAATAATTATTTGTCAATTCATTTGTAAGAACCGTAAGCTCAATACATGCCAACAAATGCAAGTGGTTTTATTTTTCATAAAAATAAAGTATTTTCTAAACAAACAGTGAGAACTATGGCTTGTTTTATATTTTTTTAAGTCTATTTAATATCTTGCTTTAAGGAAGACTTCTGGGTTCATTGTGTTACATTATCAAACAATTTGAAGCCATTGGAGAATTTCACTGTAAACTCTTAAGAATGAAAGTAAACAAGACAATAATATCTTGGTATTACTGTGACCATTAATTTAGGAATGATATATTTATAAATTATAAAATATTTCTCAATCAACTCTGAGTTGTGTTTTTAAACATAAGCATATTGTTTTTTAAATTGTCAGCATCTCTTATGATGAGAAGTCTTAACAGGGCCTTGCAGATAAATACAAGTATTTTATATAGGTATCTTATATAGGTATTTAAGAAAATGAGATTTCTTCTAAAAGTTCATTTCTCCATTAATGGTGAATTGGGATAATACATTTTCTTATAGAAATTTTCTTCTAAATGTATACTGAATTCACAACTACTTTGTAGAAATATGTCAGTGAACGTATTAAAGGCAGTTCACAAGACATTACTAATGCTGTGTTAATACTCACTGTTTCATTGGCCTTTCCTCTTTTTTTTTTCTTTTGAAGAAATTATATGTCGAGCACCTCCAAATATAGCAAATGGAAAATACACCAATAGCCACAAGCCTATCTTTGACTATAATGAAGTAGTAACTTATAGCTGTAATCCTTCAATGGGACCAGATAAATATTCACTTGTTGGAGAAAGCAAACTTACTTGTCGCGGACTATGGAGTAGTGACCCTC